CTCATGAGAAAAAACCACAAATGAGTTGTGGAGAAAGAAGAATTGTCTTTATTTAACGATGGCATACGGTGCAGATATAGATATATTGGTATAGGTATTGTAATTGGAAGTGACACTCAAAGGAACCGAAGTAGAAAATACGAAGGAACGACTTGTTCGTTATCGGTAGACTCGTGGAAAATTGGACGTTGAAGTTTATGCGAAAATTCTTGCGAAGTTTATGATGAATTTCAAGGGACTCGCAATGGTGATGGTGGTGATGGAAGTAGTAGTGGACTACAGAAACCCACCTCTGCCACTTTTCTCTGAACCTATTAACATTTTTACGACTGTGCAACAATATTCAATTTGGAGATCAATTCGAGAATTGGAATTTTTATTGCATGTTTGTTTCGTCAATCATTTTATTCTGAATACACCATGGAACTGATAATTTTCTACAATAATTTTTTCCTTAAATAAACGATATCAATCTGCCGAAAATGCTGCATATTCTACATATTTTTCCATGTAGAAATAAAAACTTTGAGAATAGAAATGACTAATTTTTTTCAAGTTTTTAACCTTTAAAATAGGACTTCATTTATTCAAATGATATCATTTGTTCAAGGGATATTAACGATTGAAGACTACTCATTTCCGAATATCTAATAGTATAAATTTCTTTCTGACATGAGGATATTCCTATGGCTAAATCGATAGCAAACATTGACTCCGTGCAAATTGAAAGGAGATAAAAAGACGCTAAACAAAAGAAAAGCACAAAGGAAAGTCGAGAAAAGTGGTGAGAAAATCACAAAATTCCAATTCAACTTGAAAAATAAGTTTGGAGCTTAACTCTTTCGCATTGTGTACGGCTGCTTACGGATCACGGCGTCAACGATTCTTGATTAAAAAAAAGTTTCGAGTGGCAAAAATATTTAAGTGGATGAGAGACCTATTGAGAGTGATTAATTTCATACTGAGGAATAAATGCACCAGAAAAGCACAGGTATCTTTTTGTGCTGGAAAGTCAAGTAATAATTCTGCTGTTGGAAAGAATTAACTATACTGTCAGGCTGAAGGTGACAGCGATCGGTGAGTTGTGAAGACGGGTATACTTAGAATTTAGGAGTGTTGAAAGTCGCGAGAAACGTGCTATCTGACAGAGTTGAGAGAATTCCATATATACAGTATGAATTGGCGTATCGCTTAAGCATGTATTAGTGGATGAGTGAAGCAAATATATTGTTGGTTGGGTATTACTTCAGAAAATATTCTATGAATTTACGAGGTATTTTTTTCATGGAAATTTGGTATTCCTTTTGAGTATAAATACTGTATCTAAAATAGCTTAACAGAATGATAAACCAACCTCTAGTGCATCTTTTTATAAACCTCCCAATCTTTATTATTATTAAAATAAGCGTCCTACATACGCACGGAAATTGTTTCTTATTTATTTGTTTCCTAGAGAGAGGAGATGATCTCCCTGTGGGACTTTTGTTGCGCTATCCAATGCCATAATGACTTTCATTGATTATCAGGTTATCCCAGGAATTGATACGAAATTTCATACACTATACGAAGGAGATCTCTTGGTAAGCTTCTCTAAATCCGTCAGGTTCAGAGATTCTAATGGAATAATCTGTTGACACTGAAGAAATTCATAACCGCATTGTTTAATTCATTATACAATCGATTTTTTTAAACTACGGTGATTACCTCAGAACCTCACGAGCTGCACTTTATAATAATGAACTCAGTACCCTATATATGATCTCATGACATCATTTATGAATAAGTGAAGAAAAAAGAAAATCCTAGTACTAATTTCACACGTAACGGCTAGAAAACTCACGGTCGAGTGACATAATGATTCCAAAATACCGTTTATTTCGTGTCATCCCATTAGTGATTTTGATCATTTCAGTGAATCCATGATTTAATTCGTTCCACGAATAACTAGTGGTGATTTCCTTAGCGAGAATGAATGATTTTCACATGATTAGAATCATTGGAACTGATTAGAGAAAAAACGTTTCTACTTTCTCTAGTAGAAATCTCGGAATTCGGCAATTTTGTGATACTAAAAAATTAGCGAGCTAAAAAATTCAGAAAATCACTGAAATTCCCACTTTAAGAAAATTTTCTCTAAAAATCGGAAAAAACTTTTATTCCTCAGTAGGTTTACTTAAATCTGCTATAATAGGGAACTTCCATAGAGTCCACTTTTCGAATATTTTTAAATGAATAGAGTCTTTGTAGTCTATGAACTATTCCAGAGTAAAAAATTTTCCGAAAGGTGGTCTGGATATTTTGTAATAACTGATTAAAAATGGATCAATTTTGAACACTTTTTTTGGGGTCATGACGTCAACTCACTGGAATCAAGTTCCCCTTGCGACTACTAGCAGCGTTATTGAGTTATTCAAGCCTCTCAAAGTGCGAGAAGTTCAACCAAAACAAATCAAGGGGGTCATGTTTGAAACAATTATTAAAAGTGGATAACAAAAATATATTGGCACTAACAAATGAAGTTCGTGCTGAAAAATGATTTTCAAAAGGCGTGCTCGGGGAATTTAAGTGTCGGAACCGTGGTTGTATAATTTTCACTGTTGTATTTTTACATCTTGGTACAAAACAATATTTATAAGGAACTTTCATCACTCGATCCGGTTTTTCTGACATTTTGGAGCCAAGTACATGTACAGAGTATTTTCCTAAATTTCAGAAGCTGTATTGAACCGGTTGACGGCGCCGCACGAAAATTTCGGTCTTCAGTGAGTTAACGTCACAGGCCTTTTTAGAACGTTTAAAAAACGCAATTGTTAAAAGCAGATAAATAATTATTAAACTATTTTCCGTGTGTTTCCTTATCAAATATGAGTTCTTGAAAAAAAAAATTTTTTTTTAAACAAGCAAGTTCCCTATTGTACACCCATAAAGGCGGTTATTTTGCGATTTTGGAGAAATCTTGTTTCTGGAATTTAGAACTTCTAGGTTCTCAAATTAAGAACCTTTACTTTTTTGTTTACTTTCTTGAATTCATGATGTTTTCTGTTCTGAAATTAATCTACTCAGTTATCAGTCCTTCGTTACCCAAACACGTATAAAAAAATCGTATAGAAATTTTCTATACGGATTGTGTTTAGAAATTCTATAGAATTTCCGTATATGATATTCGGATATTTCTATACGAATATTTTCTATACGAATTATTTCTATACATAAATTTTTAAATAAATTTTTGTTTCCATACATAAGATGTCTAAACACTCCGGAGAAAAACGTAGAGAAATGTCGCAACTCCATACCAAATGTTTTTATACATGTGGCAGTGGGTCGTATAGGATCAAACCTATAGAAATCGTATAAAAGTAATTTGTATAAAAAATATCCGTATAGAAATATCCGAATGTCATATACGAAAATCCTCCAGAAATTCTATACGTAATCCGTATAGAAAATTTTTATACGATTTTTTCATACGTGAAGTACATCACGTGACCCAACAACTCAATGAAAGTTGAAATGATATTCAATTATTCCAAAATTATATCCCTTTCCAAATTTTTTAGTTTAGGCACGGTATAAAGTTCTTGATTTGAGAACCGTACGGTTTTTGACGTCAAACTTTTTTTGCTTGAAACAAGTAGTTTTTTGGTACTGTATTTTTGAGATTTTTATTGTGAAATTAAATAATCAGTTTTTAATTCTCAGTACAATGCCTTCTAGAACCATGAGTTTCTTAAAATCAGGTTCGGTCTGGGAACTGAAAATTTTTCTCTGCCCACATCTATGCGGTAACTGTAGAAGAATCAGAGTTAAATTTTAGATGCCAAGTATCACAATCAACCACATTGACTTTGATTTTTTTAATAGTGATCCCATGCAACTCAATTTTTGCGTTATGACGTTTAGCCTCATACCCTTTTTCTATTAGTTTGTCTCACATGAGTTTAGAGATTACGTTGATTCCTCTAATTTCATGCACAATTCTATCAGCATGTAATTCCATTATTTCAAAAGAATTACCATTCCAAAATGGCCGATTTTGGAATGGTCAAAACAATAATACAAAACCTGTTGTTACTGAATGAACCAAAAAACTTCCGTCTGAGAATTAACTTCAGCATGAAAATTGCGAAAATTATTGAGACATGACATGATGCATATTTGGACGTGTCGTCAGAGGTTTTTTCAATAAGTGTAGGTGTTTCTTTTTTATATCATCGAGAGTCAAGTGTGACAAGAAGGTGATTGGATCTCTGTTATCAAGGGTATATTGACAGCCCACGCATATATAACGTATTGCGCAAGAGTCAAACTATAAACGGGGTTGAACGTGATTACTGAACATACAGATACGGAGTGGCAAAGTTGTGGATGTATGGGAGTTTGGTAAATGTCACACCCCAGAGAATTCCAACTGTAGTACAGAAACTTGATAAAACGACGTTCAGCATCACTCTCGTGTTCGCTAATTATTTCCAGGATTTGAGGTTGTTGTTGGTGTTGAATAATCACATAGACAATAGACTCTAGGAATTAAGAACAGGGGAATGATGGAATCTAATGCATTTATCAAGTTTTGATTATAAAAGAGATCAAATTTAATAGATGAGTCTAGTTGAATATAAGTTTCCCTGATGAGGTGATTCAGAAAAATATTAAATCTCAGACAACAAGGTAAGAGATATCCTTTGTAAGTAAAGGACGTATGCTCTTGATTCTTTTATAAAAGAGATCTCTAACGAATTTTCGTAGCTCAACACCGAAATGATCTTCAAAGGAAACCCGTCAAACATTTAAAGTCGACCTATTTTGTTTTCTTGATGAGGTAAATATTTCACTCATGAGTAATTGTAAGAGAAATTTTCAAGTGATAATTTTTGTAAGAAACTATCGCAGCTAGGAAAAAAATCTCACAACACTTTGGATGAAATCCAATATAAGTTCCCATTTGCATCAATTAAAATATCATTACTTATGAATAATGAAAGTGATTAATTACTCACATCCGCGAAGAATTCTGTCATGAAATCCTCCTGCCCACCCACGGGGACAGACACCTCATCCGCCACATCGTCGTCATCCGACTGAGCCTGAAAATGTTGAAGAAACAAAATTAAAGAGTATTTTATTACAAAACTATTCTGAAAACTATTGTAAATGGAGCAAATAGATGACAAAATTTCAGTTATACATATAATATCGATCAATTAATAGCCTCGGGTGATACTCGTTATGTTTGAGGATCGCCTCACGGTAAGTGGCGTTTATCCTTCGCAGCCTTTCAATTGGTTAAGTGCTCTCAATTAAAACCTCAGAGGATCCTCAACGTTCGCATCCAATGAGTAGCCACAGCATTTCACTGTCGTATTTCTCTGACTTTGACCTAGGTTTTGCACTGACCGGTCTCAGACGTTGCTGCATTATTAAGTCAAATGCCTCAATTGCAGAATGCAGATGAGTTCAGAAATTTCATGCAAATTATTTTGAAAATATTTTTGGAACAGGTTGGCTAGGATATATCAAGAAACCTTTTTCGTACTCCACAAAATTTTCTACAGTAAAGGTACTTTGATGTTCTCTCCTAACGTGATTAATTAACGAGTTACAAAGCTCATCTGTCTAAATAATAAAAAAAAGGAGAGTGAAGATACAGGCGATGGTTAGACGGGCGGGGCATGGGGGGCATAAAGAGCGTAATGGTTGGAATCTGATGGATCCAGCATTTATACAGATCACAGTCGAATATCTGTCAACAGTGAGGGTCAGGAGATGAAGCTGAAACTATCGTAAAAGTCACCAGCGGAATATTCGATTTAGGAGAATCTAGGATGCTATATCGTAAAAGGGAGAAAGGAAATCAATCTCGAAATATCTCGAAAATCTCGAATAAGCGTAAGCGTAAGGCTGAAACCTAAGCGCCACTATGTGAGGAGAGGAGAGGGCGCGTGTGTAGCACGTGCGGCCGATCTCGTTGTACAAATATTTTCAAGTCGTGTACAAATTCTTTCACAATTGAAATAGATTTGTACATATGAATATAAATATAAATGTTTGTACATTTGTTAGTTTCAGTTTTCCGGTCAGAAGTTGCATAAGCGTTAAGGTACTACCTCAGTCACTTATCCATGGTGAAAATTGCCCAATGTTCTAGGAACCCAAAATGTGGATCATATGTGATTGAGCACACTCAAAAATTATTTCCAAAACTTCAATCACTTCGTTCACACCATGTTCGAAATATATATCTCAAAAATCGGATGGACGAAATACTTAAAACTTTGGGAATCGTTTTTCAATTTGATAGAGGCAGACTGCAATAAAATTTAGAAGTTGTAGGGGATTGTCTCTACTATGTTGATGATTTTAGTACGTATTTTGTATACTCAAAAAGTGAGAAAAAATCGAGTTTCAATTTCTTTATTGACGGCATGTGACTGTACAGTCATAAAATCCTCGAAATATTCCCCTTACCAGGATGTTCGATGCATTGACTTGAATTTAGTCTCCATACACAGAATATAGTGACGAAAGAAAATAAGTGACCTTTTTTGAAAATTCCAATTTTTCGATTGTTTTTCTGAGAATTCCGTAACGAAGTGTAGCACGATTTAAGTCGATTTTGGCTATTTGCCAGTTTTCAATGAATATACGAAAAAAATAGCCGAAGGAAAAAATAGCCGATGGGTAGTAACACGCTTTGGATGTGGGAACCGACAAAATGACCGGTCATTTTCGGTCATTTTTTTTTCGCCTACTGTTTTCAATGAATATATCGGAATCTAAGGCAGATTGTGAAATTTTGAATATAATCTTTTCTGTAGCACTGAATTCACGTTACAAAAAAGTTTATTACAAAAAATTTCATTATCTCCCTCAGATTCAGAGATATTACTCGAAAACTCAGATGAGAGTGAAGTCGCCTTAAACCGTTTTATCGCTTCGCTACTGAATTGGTAGAGACAAATTGAGTGCAAATTGGAAGCCATGACACCAATGAACTAAATTTTGTTTTTATTTTTTTATCATTAGTATGGCAGTTTCAAAAAATAAATTATCCAAAAAAATTATTTACTTGTAGTTTATTGGTGTGTTATAGCCTTCAATTTCCATTACACGATTGTCTCAAACATATGATTGTCTCTATCAATTCTGAGCAAGAAAATAAAAAAATTTGAATTTTCAAAAAAGCTTATATTTTTGTTTCGTCACTGCATTATCTGTTTGAAAACCAAAATTCAATTTATTCCATCGAAAATTGATGAATGAAAATTGGTGAAAAAATTATTTCGAAAATTTTATGCCTGTACAGCGACACGCCGGCAATGAAAAAAATTGAAATTCGATTTTTGATCATTTTTTGAGTATAAAAATTAATGAACAAAATTTCTTCCTGAAATTTTCGCCGGTTAGTTCGAGGGATATGTAAGCCAATTTATGGTGCTTTTAGACGTATTTTCTCCTACTCCTTACTACGACTGTAGAACTCTTATTGCCTTCCTCTAGGGGAAAGAAGATGATTGAACTTAGACTGAGCCATTGTTTTTTCTCATTTTATCCTGCTGCTGGAAACAGTGACTTATGCAAGAGGAAGTTGTGTCCTCGTATGGACGTGAGAAATAAATGAAACGATGCAGGTTTCAAGTATGATAGTTGAGAACAGAACACACTACTTTGGGTCAAGGATACGCAACGAGGTCTGTATGCGTACGTAGGATATTCAAATGAGAACTCTCGAAGCGAATTCAACGCTCCAATGTCAATAATTTTTAACATAAAAACATAAAAACATTTATCCAAGAACTCAAATGAAACTTTTCATTACCGAGATAACAATGCAGAGGATACTATTTGACTGCTACAGTGAGTGAGATAGTAAAAACGGGTCGAAAAACAAAATATAGTACATTATACTGTTAGTATCTCAAAAATTTTTAAATTTCGTCAAAATGATCAAAGAATCCTCTCGGCAACTGCATAAATTTCATCTAAAAACAATTTTATGGACTTTCTTTTCCAAAACTACGTAATTCTGATACATTTACGGGAGAATTTGGATATTACATTGATCGGAAAATAAAATCAGGCAAAAAACTCAATATATCATAGCATATATGTTCAATTTTGTAAATATCTTGGAAACCGACGGATCCAGAGAAAAAAGTCAAACGTTATTTTCTTTCAGAGATATTTATAGAGGAGTCTGCAAATTATTGAAAAATTTATCTGTCTCCGACATCTCATTACTGAATTTATTATTTGACATCTCAAGATCTTCCCACATTTTATTCCTCGTTTCTTAAACAATAGTCAACCCACTGCGAGTGTCAGGAAGGAACAGGCGCGTGCTCAAGGTAATTCTCCCTGCAGAAATCAGACTGACACCTCTGGGCTTTCATTCAACAATGAGAATTGTCCTCGTTAGCGCATCGTCCCTACAATCCACAAAGACACCGCTGTGAGGCAGGGTGAACTTGATTTCAAAAGGAATGTTCAACCTCGTAAAAAGTATTCCAGTGAGAAATTTTCAATGATTGAATTGGGCAAAGAGAAAAAAAGCCATTTATGTGATTAACGAGAATTGAAAAACGTGAAAATTATGAAGAGAGCTTGTGAATCATACTGGCGGTAGATTTATCAGTACGTGCATTGTATCGTTAAGGGGTATATTGATAAAAGAATTCTATGCGTCATTGTTGTTTGTATTTCATTCTCATTGAAGTTGACAGACTGTCATGGCACTTTGTTAGGAGTAAAACTTCCGCCTCACTCATCCTTATGACAAAAACGGTAGAAATTCTAGGACAATAGTCTCTCTGGCCATGCAGCCTTGAGAAAATTGTAAGGAGCAATGATGATAAGTATGTGAAGCCTAATTATGCGACGAATAATTTTTCCCTCGAAAAACAATTCACCTCAGTTGAACTTTAAAAGTTTTCTCAATTTTTAGTTTTAGTTAAAACACTCCAAAACAAGTGTCCATTGGAATACGCTTGGGAAGAGAAGGGTTAGAGAAATAAAAATGTAGAGGTCTTTTCTGTAGGAAACTTGGGGCCTGAAAAAAGTTTGCTGTGATCTTTCAGTTGAAACTCACTAGCTGTTCAATTGACTTTTTTACAGTCATTTAAATTGGTGACAAACCGATTTCTCTATACTTTACTATAAACCCTTATATAATCAGCAGTAATACCATGAAACCTCCAAAATTATCGGATATTTTCCGATTGTTTTGTTGCGTAGCAATGAGAGGGAGAAGTTTTGCAGATTAAAATTTTTATTTTTCTGCAAAACTTATCCTGATCGTTGATACGCAGGAAAACATGAGGGAAATGTTCGATTAATTGTGGAGGTCAAGTGGTATTCGACGGATTATTTTTGTTAATCGGATCCTTCCCAAACCGACTTATTTTGACTTTCTTCATGACTTTCTTTCACTCCACAGGATAATATTTGACAATTATTTCGTTAGAGAAACAATTGCAGAGCTGGAGGGAAATTATCAAAAGCTAGAGGGAAATAACCAGTAGTAATACCACTAGTGCTTCAAAATTATCGGATATTTTCCTATAGCTTCGTTGCCTAGAAACGATTGTGTCAAATTTCGCAGGTTTAAAATCCCGAGTGCGAAGCACGAAAGTGTGCTTCGGAGTGTTTTTTTCTGCGAAATTTGACACACTCGTTCCCAGGCAGGGAAGCTTGAGGAAAATATCCGATTAATTTTGAAGCACGAGTGGTATTTGACGGGTTATCCACGGGTTTTTCCACACGAATTTCCGCCAAGCAGAGTGCAGTGAACATCCGGATACATTTACACAGCCATACATTTACAACCCACTTTTTTGTTTATCTATCACACAGAATATTAAACGTGAAATGCGTTGAAAGATGAGAAACATTTGAAAAGCTAGTAGTGAATTTTCGTCCGAAATTTTTTAGAAATTTCCGAAATAAAACTTTTTGACAGCCTCAAATACTGCGCTCTGATTGGCTGAAATCCGAGTGAGAAAAATAATCAGTATAATTTTTTTCGAATCTGTCAAGATTTTTTGGTGTTTTGTACTACTCGGGGAGATAAAACAGCTTGACTTGCAGCATTCCTGTTTTCCTCCCATTTTATTCGACTTGTAAAACTTTTCATTCACCGACGCCCCTTAAAAATAAATGAATCAAGAATTATCACATTATCAGTGGTCAATGGACACTCGTAGTAACTGATTTTATGAAGATAGAGATATACGCGTGTGATCGTGACAGGAATGATCCGCATAGTTTTTCTCCCCCACTTGTCCCAAAGCAAACTTTGCTTCAAATTTTTTAAAACCCTTTTAAAGAGCATCCGTTCAATACAAAACACAAACTCGATCAAACCCATCTACAGTTAACCAAATTCAAAGCGAAGGTGTGTGTCGGTCGTCCATGCAGATAATAGTGGGGTATTCTGTCAAACTTGGGCCATAATTCCGAAAATAAACAAATAATAGCCCTCAATATTTTCCACTACCGCAACCATTCGTGAACAAGTACAAAAGTTTTATGCACATTTTATGTTCCCATAACCCTCAATTCACCTTCTTTATTGACTAAATAAAAAATAAAACGAAAGACTAATTACACAGGAAGAATTAGAATTAATGAATTCATATTTTTCGTCAATAAAAATCAGTGAATCTAAAAATAAAAACTGACGATTAAGGAAACGACAATTGAGACATTCAGTATGACTCGCCGGTACATTGGCTACTTAACAGGAGATTATAAGCGAACAATGGGAACGCCTTTACCGTTGACATATCGCATATTTGACCGGATGACTGACACACCGCGCTCTTTACTTCCCGGTGCTCCAAAATGCACAGGATACATTTCACATTGATGAATGAAAAAACCCTAATTAATTATCAAGTGATGCAATTTCAATGGCAAAAAAATAGTTAAAAAACTAACGATTACATTGGTACAGAGTGACGTGATGAAATGGTACACCAATTGTATTGAGGCACTGGTTCGTAGGGTGTAAGGTGTTTTGTTGAATGTAATAAACTCACCGCGACGAGGGCTGCTAATCTATCCTTGGTCATGATTCAACGATGGTTATTGGAGTTAACGGACGTACAGTTTGTATCGTCTAGTTTGTAATCCCATTCACGGTTTTATCCATGTAATATAACGAACTCACCGATCACTAAAAAACTAAAGGAACACGGACACACTAATCGCGGACAGACACGGATCGTAAAATCGATACGCTCGCAAACTCGCCTGTTTCTGCAGTGCCGTTCGACAATCGACGCATGCGCCAATGACGTCAACAATGCACACTGACGTGACTAGCATTTATTTCACCCCTTGATGCGTTACATTTTTTTTCAAGTCCTATTTTTAATTTTTGGGGGCGGGATATTCATTGCCAATCACTGATTCAATTATATTCAATTATTATTTGATTGTTTTGGGAAGTGATAGGATGACAATTCCGGACTCATGATGGGGGCGCTGAACGGCTTGCAACTCATTGGTTCAAAAAGAGACCGGTGTGAGTGGACTCGACCAATAGACATCGCCGACATAATATGCAGCAAAAAGGTGCAATCAGACGGATTTTTCAAATTTGATGTCAATTTCTGGAAATATCTCAATATTCATGGCAAATAGTATAACTTCTAGTGAAATATGGATTCTAAAGTAAAATGAAGGCATTGTCAAGGATATTTACTCATCAATGTGTGGAACTTGAGTTGAATTGTATTTAATTATTTACTGGTTCGTGATATTAAATTCATTATTAAATGTAGTATACCATTTAAAAGTGGATTAATTCCTTGAAATTCATGTTCCAGATGTAAAGTGATTCACTTTTCGGGCCCAACGACAAAAAATATTGTTCGACACGCGGCCGTGAAGAATTTTTCTACCTCGTATGATTACAGAACTCGCCTTCGGCTTGTACTGTAACCTCATATTCGCCCGAAAAGTTCCTCGCGGCCTAGTGTCGAAATGTACTATCACTCATTCTAGTGATTGAGAACGATTGAAGAACCAAAATAAAAAATCAGTCCCATTGTTTTTCGCATTTTCCCGCTTAAAAATGGCTGACATTTATCGCATAAAATTCCAAATATTCGTCCCTGAACGAATAATTCCTAGATGTCGCCACATAAAATCTCGAATTTTTCTATTTTCCTCCTCAAAAACATTTTACTTTATTAAATCAAGTCTAAAAAATTGATTAAAAAATTAGTTTCCATCGTTTAAAAACTTTTTCATAACTAACATCGTCCGTTGAAATTTCAACGAATGACGGTTGCCGTTGTCAACATCATCGTGGTACCTGAACGAACGCCATTGTGAGCCATAACGACTGTGCGAGACGGTAAGTTTTATCGTTCATTTTCACATCCATCGCTTATTGCCGGGAAATTTTCTTTACGGTGGGAATAATTCATACATTAACGAAGAGCATTATTGATATATTTAAGCACAATTGTCAATAATATTGATCGTTAGCATCGGACAATATAAGCCGAGAGAACGAATTTCCTGGGTAGTTTGTTAGGCGCCATTCGAAGGTAACTTGGAGAATTTTTTCGGTCACCTCGAGAGAATTCAGAGGCTATTCGGCGTGGTGGAAGGCGCGCAATTCCCTACACAGGCGGCCGGCTAACTCCAGTTTAGTTACTCTAAAAGTTGTTTTTTAGTCATCTATCGTGGACAAAATTGTGGTTAAGAGTTCATGTAAAGGAGTAGCTAGTTGCAGGCAAAATTGAGTGTTTTATGGATGGTTCGGTAGTTATCCGATTCTCATCGGTCAGTCTCTGTCAATTCATAGCGTCATTCGCTAACTTTCCAACTGCTCCAATGTTCAAACGAAGATTTTCATAACTTAACGGTTTTTCAACTCCCTAAGTACTTCTAATAGTTTTCATTATCTCGTCAATAACTTTTATTTGTATTCATTTCTTGACTTGTGGTATTTTTCAGCTTTCAGAGTAACAAAAAGGGGATTAAAAAACGCAAAAATGGCGCAAGAACCTGATATGCCTACATTCAAGTGTGTGCTCGTCGGTGACGGTGGTACTGGAAAGACAACATTTGTAAAACGTCACTTGACTGGTGAATTTGAGAAGAAATACGTTGCCACCCTTGGTGTTGAAGTACATCCACTGATTTTCCACACTAATCGTGGGCCAATTAGGTTTAACGTGTGGGATACAGCTGGCCAGGAGAAATTTGGCGGTCTTAGGGATGGTTATTACATCCAGGGACAGTGTGCTGTCATCATGTTTGATGTTACGTCCCGTGTGACGTATAAAAATGTACCCAACTGGCACAGGGATCTTGTCAGAGTGTGTGAAAATATTCCGATTGTACTTTGCGGGAACAAAGTTGATATCAAGGACAGGAAAGTCAAGGCCAAGAGTATTGTGTTCCACAGAAAGAAGAATCTTCAGGTGATTATTTTCTTTATAATTGTTTAAGAATTTTTTTTTCGTGTATTAATTTCTCACATTTGGTTAGAAGTGTACGTATTTCGAAAACGAGTGATTTCATGACAGAATGTCATTCCTCTTATTTCCCACCAAATTTTTGTAGCAAAAGATGTCTTGACGTTTCTCTAGAGTCATTTACTTTGAATTTCATTACGTAATTAATAAAATATGATAATTGATTAAGTTTTATGACTCCTCCATAGATTTGATAGTCGTATTCAATTTTTTATAGGGGAGAGTGAGTCAAAATGAAACACTAAAAAAAAAGACTATATGACGCAATTCAAGCAAACCAAATTTTTGTTATTAAATATTTCTTTTTATTAACTTTTTTTTTCATTTTTGGGAGTACTGGTGAGAATAATAATTTTCCATTCAGTAAAATGGAAAATTATTGAGAAGTTTTGGCGGGCGAAGATTCTGTCAATGGATTAATTGAAAAGAAAATGAAACAGCAAAATGCAAGGTCCAGGGGGAGATCCAGAGGGGGAAAAAGGGAAATGAGAATTTCAATCGAATAATCCATTAACAAAATCTTCGCCCATCAAAACTTCCCAATAATTTTCCACTGTATTGAATAGAAAATCATTATTCTCATCAACACTCCCACAAATAAAAAAAGTTGAAAAAAAATGTTTTTGATCTTGAATTGCGTCAAACGTCTTTTATTTGACTGTTTCATTTTGCCCCTCTCTATTTAAATTAATTTGTCAGCTGTGATTATATTTATTGATTTTCTCATTTTTCTTCCACCCGATAATTTGTAAATGGGCCCATCATTTCGAGTATATGTTAAAAATGAACAGATTCAACAAGGAATTTCAAGAAACCCTGTTTTTGTAGGTGAAAAAATTGCCAACACAAATGATTTTTGATAAAATTTCCTCTTGTCACTCCACTATTCACGTAAATTATCAAATATTAAATACTTAAATTTTTCAATGTCTTAATTTTTTCATGGTTAGTACTACGACATCAGTGCCAAGAGTAATTACAACTTCGAAAAGCCCTTCCTGTGGCTTGCAAGAAAATTAATCGGTGACCCCAATCTCGAGTTCGTGGCGATGCCTGCTCTTCTTCCACCAGAAGTTACCATGGATCCACAATGGCAGCAGCAGATCGAGAAGGATCTCAAAGAGGCACAAGAAACTGCTCTCCCCGAGGACGACGAAGATCTCTAGTTTCATTAAAAACACAATGTGCGTATGGCCGTGACAAAAATTTCACTGTTAATAAAACAACAAAATTCAATATCATAAACAAGAAAAACTGTAATTTCCTATTGTAAGGCCTATGCAAGAATAAGTGCTCTACGTACTCGTTACGTGCTTACCTCTGTGGATTGCAGATTCTTTTACAAAGACGAATATTCACTCTTTTTACACTACTTAGGTTTTATTCAATTTCGTTTAATCCCTGGTAATTCCTGTGAGTCATTAAAAATCGTTTATCACCAATTCAACGTTGTTACTGCCATCCAATATTAAAAATGTTAGCCTCTCCCCAAGAGTTATTGAAGAAAGTATTTGGGCAAGAATCTGTATCATTCAATCAATAAATAAAAATTGCCATAATTTATGAAACAATTCTTCTCTGAAGTCAAATCAACGGAATCGAAAAAAAAGAACAATGGCTGCATAAATTATAACTGATTGGTTGACACGTCATCCAAAATTGACACTTAGAACTACCATAATATCAGCAATTAGGGATCCAAAAATTGAAGTAATTGAAAAAGTTGGGATGTTTAAAATTGATAAAATTGTCGAAATAATTACATTTAAAAAAATCACGGAAAATACGACGAGCGTACGATGGAACAAAAAATGCAGTGCATAGTTCGGTCAATCCCTAGCGGTTTCATCGTGGGCTGTTTAATATTTTTATAAAGCGAAAGTGAATGTATGATTCGTTTGGAACTAAATTATATGGGAAAATTGGATTTTTTTCTGTTTTTGTACTGTGAGCAAAATATTTTCGCTTTTCGTTCACAACCATGCAACTGATTAATTTTTTTTGTCCCCCTTCCCCATTAAGAATCACTGTTGAAAGTGCGCGCGTAATGATCCTCAGTTTATTCCCTTGTAAAAGGCATTATCCTGTAGGAAAATGAATAAAAATATGCGGAATGTGTAAAGTTTAGGAATAATTAATAAATTACATTCGATTGCGTTTGAAGTAAATGGTAATTGTAAAATGCAGGTTGATTTGTTTTTTTCATGATTCGGTCTGTTCAGCATAGATGACAATGCTGTCTGATATACAATAAATAAATAACACCCATGATATTTTCATTTTCTTATTTAATTATAATTAATTTCCTTACTTGTTGATACAATGTGTTGAGTTTCCAACTCGAAGATTTTAAAAAGTGATTAGTACACATATGGAGTTTTTTTTTCATTATAATGAAGTGAATGTAATGATAATTATCATCTTAACCATAATTAACAAATGACTTTGGGTTTAATTTTAACACTGATTGATCCTAAATCCCTGGGGAATGTTCGGTTTATGGGATTTCTTTTTTATTTTTTATTCCGGTTATTGTATTCAATGTTTACAAATCGAAATAATAACCAGTATTATAATTTTTTCTTGGTAAAACTACCCTAGTTCGTGAAAAAAACTGCAGGTAACGCTTATCGATTTTCCAATGGAGTTGATAATAATTAATTGGCTGCTGCAGCCTTCTCTCTTGCTTTCTTTCCATCAAGAAGAGCTCCGCGTTCTTTGTCAGTCATAGATTTAAGAACAGTCGTAACAACACCAGTTCCAAGGGTTTTCGCACCATCACGAAGGGTAAACCTTTGTCCTTTCTCGCACACCATTGGCCTCAGAAGCTTGAGCTCCAATCTAGCAGGAAAAAATATAATTCGATTTTTGAAGATTTCCGTTTTATGATGTAATGATGAAAAAATGGATACCATAATTTTGCTGACTCAGAAAGAAAACTTGAGAATTTTTGACAAGTCCAATACTTTCTTGACGGAAGTCCAATAATTTTTTTTTATAAAAAAATCTCAGAAACGTGAATTACTTATAATAAAAGTTTGAGACTGTTAATAATTTTCATATCGAATATAGTTTTTATTCATTTTTGTTATTCTTCTCAAGTTCAATCCTTTCCTTAACCTTCATCATTTTTTCAGAAGACTGTGATATTCCCTACCTCAATTTAATTATTATCAATAATACCAGACTACCCATTGTCACAAATGTACCTGAATGTTTCTATCCATTTTAACTTCCATTTAAAATTTACTTCAGATTTTCATCTTGAAAAATTCACATCTATTCAGACTACTTTAATCCCTAGAGAAAATTCAACTTACGTAGTATCTTCACCCGGCATAGCCATAGCCTTATTCGGAATAGTAACCTGTGTAGCGCAATCCCATGTTTTACTGAACATCTGGAGCTGGATAAAATTGGAAATGGGTTTTGTCCTGCCTCCCTCGTTAGGATTCAGAATATATACTTGCGCCTCAACATGATCGTTAGCCTTGATGGTGCCAGGTTTGAGCATCACCATTCCCCTTCTGATATCGTCTCTCTTGACGCCTCTGACCAGGGCACCTAGCTGGTCGCCAGCCTCTGCCTGTGGCAGAATTTGGTGGAACATCTCGATACCAGTGATTGTAGTCTTGAAATTTTTATTGTACCCCACGAATTCGCACTCCATTCCCTTTTTGATGATTCCACGTTCGAGACGTCCAGTGACGACAGTTCCACGTCCAGCAATAGAATAAACAGCCTCAACAGGCATCATAAAGGGTTTATCAAGGTCTCTGGCCGGAGTTGGGATGTTATTGTCAACAGCCTCCAGTAATTTCAGAATAGCTTCGCTACCCAGTTGTGGTTCCGTCCCCTCGAGTGCGCATAATGCACTGCCTTTGACCACTGGGATCTTCTCTCCATCGTATCCCATCTCTGACATCAGCTCCCGAATCTCCATCTCCACGAGCTCAACCATCTCACTATCAGCAGCGTCAACTTTATTGATGAAGACGATTATATGTTGAATACCAATCTGCTTGGAAAGAATCAAGTGTTCTCTGGTCTGCGGCATGACACCATCGGTAGCAGCTACCACGAGAATTGCTCCGTCCATCTGCGATGTTCCTGTGATCATGTTCTTGATGTAATCCGCATGACCAGGACAGTCGGTGTGGCCATAGTGACGATTTGGTGTCTGGTATTCAACGTGAGCGACATTGATTGTAATCCCTCGAGCTTTCTCCTCTGGGGCATTGTCGATTTCGCTGTAGCCCTTTGCTGTTGCCAGTTCTTTCTCGGCAAGGACTGTAACACCAATTCATTAAGTTTAGGACCTGCATATTGCTGGTTACTTGCTTCCTGATGGGTTTAGGTGGTGAGTAATGTTTCTTGCATAAATATTTCAGGGTATTTATACCAGTGTGTCCACCTGGAAAATTCAACAAAATTCCCTGAACTTTTCCTGACTTTTCCCGGTCAAATTGAGGAAACTCCCTGACCATAGAAAACGTTTTTTTTTATGAAAGAATGTTAAATTTATAGACTCTAAGGTGAAAAGCGTAGTAGAACGCTTTAGTGGAGACAGTGGCATTCCGTTTTGAAGGCCATAGAGTGGAGATATTGAAATTCACCTTAGAGGATGAAAACGTTTTTGAAATTGAAAGATAGTTGAAATGATTGATAATTAGATGAACTTGATTTGATGTCAAGAGTGGAATAAAATAAAAGTAGTTAATTGCTTTCGTCACAACATAGTCAATATATTTTCGCTCATAAATTAGCAATGCGCTTCCACATGTGAATTTTTATAACGATGGAATTTCAATTGAATTCAATGATTTATTGTATTCAATTTATTGACATTGCCTCAATGTTGGCAGCGAACATTGCACCAAAAATATTGGTTTCAAAATGATTTTTTTCAACAAAAAATCACCAAAAAAAATTTGGATTCAACAATTAAAGTTGATACTCGGCTGAATTGCTCCCTTCCGTCCGATTCCTAGTGTCAACTGCTAAGAGGTGACTCATCAAATGATAGTGATTCATTCAGTCATGCGAGTATTGACAAATTAGTTAAACAATTCATCAAGCAGGGACTGACTTAAACTTTCGTCAAAGTAGTAAAAATTTCGAGAAAAACAATTTTTTATGCCAATAAATAGCTATTCAGGTATTGGGCCATCAGACCTAACCTATGCCCGAGTAGCTGAATTCGTTGTTTCACTATTAAGTTTCGTATTGTTACACGTGTGAGATATTGTCATAAGTGAAACTATCGAAAATCGTTCAGTGCATGTGAATAAAATAATCAGAAATTTTGTTTTCTTCAAACTAAATTTTTCCTTTAGAGAGAAATTTTAGAGTCTGCACACCTACCGACTGGAATCTGAAGAGTGTTATTTTATTGAGAAAACTTACTGAATGTTGATTCTATTTGCATAATGTCATGATGATCATATCCATATGTCATAATATGCGTAGCAATCTATTATTTAATGAACGATATTTATTATTAAGTGTAGATTTCCGTGGCAATAACTTGTGATTCAACTAGGGGACATAGGGATTCAGGTATTGGGACATGGACGTTTTTTAGATTCAACTACTAGGACATAGTTCTTACATAATAAATTCGTTTAGTTTCTGGTTTGTTTAATATTTTCATAGCTGAAAATAATTGTTTTCGGTCAAATAAAGTTGGGTAATCCTCTAGAATAATTCCTCTATGACCAATATAACAGAATTTATTTTTATGCACGTTCTTTCATTGACTCTTACTTAAAGAGTTAGCTACCAGGACATTCACCTTAGTCACCTCCGATTTTTGAAAATTTTTCGGTCCCCCCTCGAAAAACACACTCCTTCCGGGTTTTAACATCGCGAAATTGTGGAATCGCCCATTTCAGAAAGTTGGGTTAAACCCAGAGGTACCTATATAGGCGCCTCCGATTTGACGTAGTGGCCTCTCCGAGAAGAGGCGAGGATAGCCGCGTGTAGTGTATATGGAGGCGTATATGTACGCAGTGTATAAAGAGGTATATATATATATATATATATATATATATATATATATATATAT